TTGCTCGCAGGAAGGACAGTTCATATTCATAGTCAAATTCAAATATAGGATCGAAGAATATTTTACTTTTATTTCTCCCTGCCAACTGTAACAGCGCAAGTCAGATGCCATTCTCTGGCGCATCCGCGAAATCGAGCTTTCCTCCCGGATTGCCGAACTGCGTCAGCACTACTCCGAGTTGGACTGCCTGCATGACGTCGAGCACGCATCCAACACCCTCCAGGGTCATCCGACAGGCGGTCCCCTAAGTGCCTGCTCCTCGGTGGCCCCCACACCCGAGGTGCAACGATCCCGAGGCGAGGGAGATGGACAGTCGAAGGGGATAGCGAGGGGGCACGTCCCTTCAATGTGGAAGGACCTGCCGCCGGCCCTTATGACAGAGTCAATCGGACCCCTGGAGGACCTCTGCATCCTTCCCGACGACCCACTGATCACCAGCATCTATGTTCACGAGAGCAGCGCCAAGTAAGACACAATGCTGCAGCGCTGCACAAGCGCCAAGTCTTTCACACACGGTCACTGTGTGCTGCCAACATGAGATGCATCAAATTCCCCCTCCTACATGAATTTACTCTAATAACCTTGGTTCTCCCAATCCCCCTTTTTGTTCTCACCTTTTCGGTGTTCCATTTCATGCCAGACTTTCAACCTACGCTCATTCAACACTCTCGATTCTTGAACAATTCCACTCATCCTGTTTAACGAATGGAGGGAATCTTTTCAAAGTAACAGTCTTGATACTAATCCAAACCACAAGCAGATCCCGTGCATCATTGACTAATTAAAACAGACGACGTCACGAGACTACCCTGAACGACAGGCAACACTTAAAAACAGTGACACCACGAAATCGAGGATGCGTGCTAGGTCAGCCAGATCATTAACAGTGAGATGGACTCCGAATTTGCGTAAATTCACAGCCAGCATGGTATAACGGGTCCGGTGACACGTTACCGAGGATATGAGACAGTTGCAGCCGTGGGTACAAGCTCCGAAGTTTTTTTTTGAGGCCAACATTATTTTAAGTTCAAAATACGCCTTCTATCATGTACAGAAATAAACATCACAAAAGTGGATGTCTCGAGGAAATCACGTGGACCCAAACAAATCAGCTAGAAGAGCCGTAGGCACCTTGATTGGCTGCACGTGATGGACTGAAACCGAGCATCTTTTGGACGTTCTGAAACATAAAAGGCATTTAGAAACCTGTGCGAATAATCTCGACTTTAATTATCGGAAGGAGGTGGGTGAAAAATCGACCTGACGGATAGACATTGTGCAGATGATGTAGAGGAAGATGAAAGAGCAATCCGTGAAGTCATTTCCGTTCAGATTTCTGTGGGACATGCCATACAACCAGGAAATCGGTGTAAAAGGTAGTTTACAGACGACACGACCATCAAACCTGGAGGTTAGATTGCCCAAATTAAAAAAGCGTTCACAGAGAAATTTAGAAAGCTTGAACAGTAACTTACACACTACTGCAGACACTAAACAAGGAAGTGAAAATCACAGCGGTGGCGAACATTGACTTTATCTTGACTGCATTGAGGTCACGAGTGAAAACCTTGAGACGCTCCTCCTGCCTTCCTAAAGTGATTTACATCAATGTTTGGAATGATGCACACAACATACCCAATCGCTTCTTTGCGGCCTTGTCAATTTTATTTTCGGAAGTTGTGTCACGTTGTTTTTCCACTATTTAACAAACATTAAGTCGAAAGCTATAAACTCACACTTCTTCGAATGCTTATCTACTTCAGCTTGAAGCTTTTTGTATTTATCAGTTCGATACACAAGTAGCCATGTGATTCCTGAAATGTGTGAGAAGGATGAGAGTAATAGTGAACACTGCACATGAAACAACCGAACCACAGACACAGAAAGTTTGAGTACAACTAGACAGTTACTAAGTATGTACCTCAAAACCATTCTTAACTGGTAAATCAAATACATACCGAGTATTTCATCTGGCAAGGAAATATGCACGATGCAGATAAAGGTTAACTAATACTAAGTCAACACTAATTAAGAAAAGAGGAGCCCAGCAGCAGCAATACTAGAAGAACTATTAACGGAAATTGGGGAATCAAAGATTTACAACAAATTACAGGGCTAAACTAAAAGTGAGAGTAAAGGGACATCGGATGTCACTAAAATAACCGAAAAGATAAACCTGGGAAACGACTCCTGTAGGAACTAGATGATTGTATAAGAGCGCGCAAAGTACGTAAAGCAAGAAAGCCAACGTAGTGGACATACCCTCGCCAAGAAATGCCGTGAAAACTGATATACATATAATAACCAGCGTATCTGCCAGCATCGTTATCACACTATTTTACAAGTGGCGCCCACGGGAATCGACGTTACTCTTTACAAAACACTACAAAACTCGTTTTAAGCGCATCAGTGACAACTGAAATACAGGAGCCCAGGTCAAAAAACGAGTTTAATCGGACTGATGATGGTAGTGATGCCACTAGTTGATTTAGTGATTTTCACATATAGTTCGTTTTTCATTTACTATATAATGTATTTGCCGGGCAATTAATATATAATGCCAAATTTAGCACTTTTGCTTATACATTATGCACCAGGTGTTGCAAGACGATTATTTTTAGCTGACATTTCACAGTCCAGCTGTGTAATTTTCATCGAATAAAATATTGTTATACTTCCTTATACAATAGTTAACAATTCGTTGTTATATGCTGGCATGGCCCGACCTAATTTCAATGATCGCTTCCGCGCGCCCTTTGGCTTGTTTCTCCAGGTTTTTTCCGGGGTTTCTTGTTGCTCCAATGCATGTTTTGACGATCCCCGCTTTGTCAGACAATTATATGTACTTACTAATCGATGAAAAGACAAAGGTAGAATGTATGGTGGCTTTGGGTTTCTTGATAACTTAGTCGATCGCTGTCTTAGATGGTCGTGTATAATGAATCCTAGCTTTGGTAGCGTTAGAAGGACTTCCTTATTTGTCCGAGTCGTTTTTGTGTAGAGTAATAACAAAATATCTAGCTAGTAACGTGGCATTAGAACGCTCTGTTATTGCTGAAAACGGACGCAGAAAACCAGGTCTTCTTTCACTTTTAGCAATGTGCGGCGGTTGATCCGGTGGAGCCCCCTAAAATCCTAACTGAAGTGAAGAAACGAGGTTTGACATTGTCATGCGTCCTTACCACGCACCATCATTGGGATCACGCCGGAGGCAACTCGCAGCTCCTGAAATCCTTACCCACCCCCATACCTGTTTATGGTGGTGGTAGAAGCGTGGAGGCTGTTAGCAAGCAGGTTGCACACGGCGACCAAATTACCCTAGGTAGTGACATCACAGTGACATGCTTACATACGCCCTGCCACACCAAAGATCATATCTGCTATTACGCTACTGAAACCGAGCAACCTGATGGCTGCGTTTTCACAGGTGATACGCTCTTTCTTGGTGGTTGTGGCAGATTTTTTGAGGGCAATGCTCAACAGATGTAAGTCCAATCGGTTCACACAAGCCCTATTATTTCGTTCTTTCTGAATGCAATCTCGTAATTTCCAGGTATCACGCTCTCTTGGAGGTTCTCGGTGAGCTCCCAGGCTCGACCAAGGTTTATTGTGGTCACGAGTACACCATGAAGAACTTTGAGTTTGCCAAGTCGGTAGACGCCTGTAATGCAGCTCTCGTGGAGCGAATGGAGGCCTGTGCGAAGTTGCGTGCTGACCGACAACCGACAGTACCGGGTACGATAGCAGAGGAGCTTGCCACTAATCCCTTCATGCGAGTCGTCGACCCGGATCTTCAGAAGCGTGTCAAAGCGAAGGATGCCATTGACGCAATGGGCATTATTCGTCGCAGTAAAGATGCCTTCTAGATGAATGAGTCACCTCTCTCATAATTACTGTTTTACGCCTTCATACATCCTTATTTTCAATGATTGCATAGATGTTTTAGCAAGCAATTATGATGTTAAGATGTATGTGTCTATTAATTTTGCCATCCGATTTTTTGGAGATCTTCCCGTTCACGTAATGATGCCTCTTAGCATCTGCTTTCGTATTGAAGGTGTCTTGTTATATTATTGTGCATGGTGTTGCTGATTGCCGAGGAGTCTGTATTGTGCAAGTTTTTAATCACAAGCTCAAGGTAATAGCGGACCATCGAAAAGGAATTAATAGTCCTGAACGGTGGCATTAACTGTCCGATACAGTGCGTAATGAATCATCGCTGTCTAGACGCTATATTCGATGGGGCTGTGTCGGTTGTGGCGCATACTCTGTCGATCCGAGTCGCTAGATAGCAAACGGCCTGTTGGGGGTACTGTTGAAGCGCTCTTGTTCCTTGTGTGTGAGCCCCCGGAGGAATATAGTTGCTGCAAAGGAAATTGTGAAGTTGCGTCTACCTTTATGCGTGTTCATTAAACGCTCCTTAGAGGGAAGTTTTTTAAAAATTAGGAGGATTCTCTTCCGTGTAGGTCGTACGCCCTACTGTTATTTCGTTCAAAGGTTGAGCTGATTGGTGCAAACGTAGTAATAAAAGATTGACTTATGCTGCAGGGTCCGGTTTGATTGTCATTTATTGCACGGGGTGTGATATCTGAATGCTTACATTTTGTGGATATATAATGGATACAGGCTGCCGGGAATTCCTGTTAGGATGGAGTCTTCCATACACTAGGAGGGCTGCTATCATCATTGCTAATAAAGCTGCGAGGGCACAGCCAATTAGTACGGATGGAGATATTGCTAGAGAAGGTCTAAAGAGAGATGTGTGACATTCATTTACCTTATTATTTGTATTCCTTGCCTGAAAAAAGAGAAATATGGTCACTTGATGCAGTGCTCAAAGAATAAGTAAAATACACAGACAAAATCTAGGCGCCAAGTCACGTGAGAGACTTTGCCTATAAAAAAACCAACTTAAAATCCCAATCAAACGACTAAATAACGGTATTGATATGCCTACTGCTCTTGCTTTCCCATTGTGAATCAAATATTGACAAAATGAGATGGTTTTGGGCACCAGATTTATCCATTCAAGTAGAGGCAGTTGTACAATGTGGTAATGACGATATGAGTTACAAGAGCAAGGATACCTGAATTCCGATTCGCTGCAACAATACTGACTTCCAGAAATGCCACAGCAAAAGTTCTTCGTAACGTTATTCAGAAGCAATGCGGGTGAGTCTGGACAGACCATGTACCGATGCTGTTCTCGGAGTGTGCTGCACAGAGTATGCGAGACTAGACAATTGTTCACAGTCCTAATAAAGCAGTCTTACGTAGATCTTCTGGCTTCATTATGACTGTTTGAAATGCGTTTGAGATTCTTATCTGAGATAAGTCTTTAACGTCCTTAAAGGTCTGAAATTTCATAAACTTGGCTCTAATGTGTTAAAAACTTGCATTATATGTCAACTTACAAGCCCCCTTTGCTTTCAAGGACAAAGTTGGGTAAATCACCATTGTACACTTGGCTACGTAAGGGTTGAATAGAAATAAAAATGATCCCCGTAATTATAATGATTTCTGCTTTGAAGCTAAACATGTATTTATAAATGCAACAATAAATAAAGTGGTGTAATTTGGCTCATATAAACAAATGTACAGGTAACCCAAGATAATGCATTGAGTTTGTGTAACACAAAACTAGTGCGTTAATAACGGCTAAGGAAGATAAACAATGTAAGGTGCAAGACTTTTACCGAGTATTAACTGATATATTTAGTCAAATCACCTACATTTTTACCTTAAGTGAAGAAAAATAAAATTCTTGAAAATATTACTGCATAAAACAACCATACCTAGATCTTGCTTTGAATAAAGATAGACTGAGTAAGGACCATTTACGTCATTTAGACTTGCAAATTATTAGTAGGCCATAGCACAGTGGAAGAATTTATGCGTTCAACACATGAAAGGGCTGGGGTGATATAGGCATGAGCCTGTGAATATAGGGCAAAAACTGATGCAGCACCCACCGACGCAAAAGGATCTGAGTGGATACATCTATATCTCAGGTAATTTAGCCCCAGATTCTTCCCCGAGTAGCAAGAAATCCCAGTGGCATGTGGGAAAACACATTACCGAAGCACAGGCGACTGAGGCTACTGGCATGGCCCAGAGGCCAGAGGTCCTAGCAGCGGCACATGCTGTAACTCCCAAATCAGCTAAACTCTTTACTATGGCCAAGTTAAACAATGTACCGCAAGTTTGGATGTGCTCTAATAAGGTTCTTTCTCATCAAATTAATAACCACGCTTAGATAATGTACGATCATCTCCAATAAGTTCGATTAAAAGTATAGTAAGTATTTACTTTACTTTCTCCAGTTACTCAAATCATTTCGATGGTAGGTGAAATTCCCCAAACAACTAGGCTTGTGCTGAGTCCTCTCTATTTAATGTGATAGTGTTCCTCTAAACTGTTTCGTTTTCTCTACTTAAAATCGCTTTGGCGCAACGTTGTAGAAAATAACGAATCACTTGGCTCCTCGAATAGTGCCGGGCCCGAATGTTCACAAAAGTAATGTATTGGATGTAACGGGAGCCCTCACCATCCTCCTTGAGACCAGAGGCGGTCTAAAACTGAGGGTTCAGTTAAGTGAAATTCTTATTGATACAGATCCAAAAGTTAGCTCTACATAAGTCCCGAATTCATCTGATCACATGTACCCCATTCACAACTGTTACAAATCACTATAGGCTTAGCATCTTCCGTGCTCTGCAGGAATGTTATTAAAAACTGTAATAACCCTAACCGTGAATTATTTGAAAGAGATTACTGCAGGGCCCCCTACGGTACCTGTCTAAAAATGTTAACTAAGTGAACAGGCGAGACCTTTCCAACTTCTCCACTAGCCGGATAGAACCCCGCTAGATATATGGCTGGGCAGCACTGAAGTGAAAACGAAGCGGTAAGGAGGAGCTGACGCCGCACCACATTCTGCGAAGCTCTTTTAAACACAGTCCTTTACTATATGACTCTTCGTTTAGACCCGTATTCTTACGACTAGCGGTGGACATAAGTGATGACTTGCACATTTGCCTTCTCTCAATGTAGTTATCAAGCACGGCAAAAGTCTAGATCCACTGGAATTGTGAAGAGGGATCAGTGACGTTGCATTCGGATGCCTTCTCAACTATATGCAAATTCGATGACTGGTGTGGTTAGTTTTTTCTTAGTGCTCTGACTACATTATGGTGGCCAAAGCGGGAGATTAACTAAGGGGAGCGCTGAAAATGAAGCTCAAAAGGAGAAGGCGTTTATGTAATATCTTGATTGCTTGTTTAATTCATCGTTTTGGTTGGACCTGTAATGAAGCGCACGACCATTGTAATTCTGGTCAGTCCCACGACTTCCTAGCCATGCCAGTAGACCCTTAGCCAGTTCGCACGTCAGCAATGCATATTCTACCCCAGCAAAATGTCTGGCGCCAAAAATACATCCGGAGACGCACGAATGTCAGTTGAACATGTCATCACAAAGCCCCTTACCACTTTTGCTATTGGGAATTATTCTTATCTTTAATTCTGTTGGAAAAACGTGGTTACGGAATTTTATCGCTTTCCTTTGCTAAGAGCTTTTAAATGTTATAGATGTACATTACACATAGTCCTTCGCAAAGTTGAGCGGTGGATTGTCTACTGTTTAAGCGTCTGCTAGGTCAAATAAAAGTCGCTTTTCTCGGAGCTTTGGAGGTGAATACGTTGCCACAACTCAGGCCTCGTTTGAGTGCTCGAAAGGAGTATAATAAACACGTATGAACCAAAAGTGCCTAGTCCCAAAACAAAAGCCATGAAATGAAGAAGGTTCTGCAGATTTTCCTTTGAAAGTAGGGGTTTTAAGGCCAAAGTATGTGTCGCTGAAGTCAAAAAGCGAATCCGGCAGTTTACGTCCGAGACACCTTCGAACTTCCTAAACCGAGTATTCGTGTTAAAGCCCGAAGGCGTAAAAGTTTCAGCAGGGTTATGCCAACTCCCCGCTATTGCACCTTCCACTTCTGTATTCCCTGTTTTTCCCTCCGTCGACTTTCCAGCAGGAGTTGCCTAGTGCGACAACGGATTTTGAGGAATCCTTGTGGGATATCATCCGCCCAGGGCCCCGGACAAAGTATGTTACAAGGAAAGTCATTATAGAAATTAACTTGATCAAAACTGATGAAGGAATTGATTAAGGGGATGTTGAAAGGATATAATGTAACTCAGCCCTTAATCTGTATGAAACTTATCGGCATTGTAAACCCGTAAGATTGCCACGCCTTTAAATAGCTTCGCACATACCGTTTGCTTTGGAATATTCAAGATAATACCGTTAAAAGCCTACATTTAAAAATTGGAATGGCTTAAATATGACAAGCGAGGTGGACTGAAAGTCTGCAATTCCCTTTATTTCCAGCTCAGTGGCTGCCTTGCCTAGGTGTGTCCTGACTGGTTATGCGCGCAAGAAACATGGCCAATTTATGCCATCCACCGCTCAAAAGCGAAGAGAGATGAAGATTGACGGTTATGCGGTTACTTTCTTACTACAACAAGCGGGTATAAAGTGTATTCTGTATTATAATGTTGCAACCTACTCATGTCTTCCTTAGTAGTACAGTTAGTTACGCGAACCTTTTACCTTTCGTGGTTCTGGTTTCCTTCACGGTAGGCAGGAGTTCTGTGCACTCCTGAGAACCACTAATTTAGAAACTGGACAAAGAAATCTATCCACTGGGTCAAACTCACCCCAAAACTTTGGATTTTATGCTTTAAACAGATGTGATGATTGAATAGAAATAGTTGGTATAAAATAAACGGCCGATCTCTTGAGCACGTGCAAGCGCCTCAGTCGGATTAATCAAGAATCGTCGGGAGCGAATACCACCACCCTATGGTATATGCATGGAGTTTGGACGACTTTCCGACGGAAGTTGCGTCCACCATCGATAAGATGGCGGTTTGACCTCAAATTGTGCATCCGAAACGCCGTTCGCTCCTAGTTCTTCCCAAA